TTCTGAAGTAGAGCAATTCAGGTGATAACAAGGTTCAAGGTGTGGCCCTCAAAGTGGGTTGTCAAAACACATTAGATTTGCAGGTACTGGTATTTCAAAAGAAAAATCACCATAAAGCTTCAATTTTGAATTGACTTAGAGGGGGCCTAATGGAAGAGTTCTGGGAAAAGATGAAGATTTAGCCTGATCATTTAACCTGATCATTCAGTGAATTTGGGGCAAACAATCAATGCTATGAGGTTAGTCCTATCTTTTTTTTTTTTTTTGAGAGGGAGTCTCGCTCTGTCACCCAGGCTGGAGTGCAGTGGCACGATCTCGGCTCACTGCAAGCTCCGTCTCCCAGGTTCACGCCATTCTCCTGCCTCAGCCTCCAGAGTAGCTGGGCCTACGGGCACCTGCCACCACGCCCAGCTAATTTTTTGTATTTTTAATAGAGACGGGGTTTTACCATGGTCTCGATCTCCTGACCTCATGATCTGCCCGCCTCGGCCTCCCAAAGTGCTGGGATTACAGGCGTGAGCCACGGCGCCTGGCTGGTTAATCCTATCTTATGTTCCTTCTACAGATTAGGCAATTAAGCAAGAAGATGTTAAGTAGTTTGCCTATAGCCACACAATTAATAACTACTGGAGTCAAAATTCAAATCCAGGCTGTCTGTTGCTAAGCCTGTGATCTAACGTTTCTGCAGCCCTGCCTCCCAGTTGTGTTTGGTGTGGGGTGCGCTGTTGCTGTTAATTTTATTTGAATGCAATCCTAGGGTTGGTGGAGAGACTGAGGAGCACATAAAAGGTCCTGGACTCTGTCTTATACTAGGTGTAGTAGGGACATTCAGGCAAGGGTAGGACACTCAAGAGCCTGCTCAAGAGCAATTGAAAATTTAGTAGGAGTCACAAGTTAAGAGAAAACAGGTTTAACTCTATCCATCTTCCTTACCGTGGTCTCTCAGGTTAGAAAATCATAGATAAAGTGATGGAGTATCAAATGTTTCCCAATTAAAAAACCTACCTGTCCATAATTCATCACCAGACAATTTAATGGTATGTTTTTGGTCTGACCTGGGGTAGATTGAATTCTGAGATAGATTTTATTCTGTAAGTGGAGAAAGTAAGCCTTATTATTGTTATTATTATTTAAAAACTTTTTTGGAATTCTGACAGTTGTAAAAATGATCTATATAATGAGCCTTAACAGAAGTGCCACATTATTTTACAAATCATCTTACCTGAAAATAAGAGCACACACACGGAGAGGACGTGGACACAAAGCCACATGAAAAGATGGTCCCTTTTGTACATGCTGTTCCTTCTGGAATGCTTTCCCACATTTCCCTCTGGGTTATTTTCTCTGTCCCTTCTCTTCCACCTCTCTGAGCCCTACTTCTTCTTCTAATCCTGGCTTAGATATCACTTCCTCTGGGACAGTTTCCTCAAGCCCCCATCTCTGAGGTGGGTGACCCATGTGTTCACCCTGGTACCCTTCCATAGCAGGCATCATGCAGTATTCCAATAGCCTGTTACTTACTGGTATTCTCTCTCTACCATCGTTAATGAGGACGGGGACCACATCTGTCCTGTTCAGCGCTGTGTCCCCATCTGAAGGCCTACCATGTAATAGTTGATGAGTAAATAACATGTTTATTGAATAAATGATTCTCAGACCAGAACCTTGTTCTTCCTTACAGCTGCTTCAATGTCTTCTCCGTTGGGATCTTTCAGGTTCTCAGTATGTATCATTAGCATAATCAAAAAGGAGGGAACTCGAAGACAAGGCAATTAGTGGCTGTATGTAAATTTTTTGGAAGACCCAGGTTTCCTGCTTCTTAGATTATTGTCTCTTCCCCACACAATAATGTCAACTCCGTATCCCTCCTCCCTTACCCGGAAATCAGGAGGTGGAAAGAAGTTTCCATGATTATCCTCACTATAAACACAGCATTTTGGTCCTTTGTTCATAGATGATCATGGTGCTGCTCTGTTTTATTTTGATTCTTCCTTCCCTCAGGTCACAGAAGATTTATTTTTGATTAATTTCTGAAATGTGCTGTGTCCCTTTTTAATGTACATTACCATTTATCTTCTGTTTTATGTCATGTTCTAGATACACAGAGATATAGCATCATGTATTTGACAAATATTTATTGCTTGCTACTATGTGCTGGGCCCAGTGCTAAGGACTAAAGATGCATAAAATGGTTCCAAGCATGGAGCTAGGATCACAGCTGTGCATCTCCATGGAGGATGCTTCCTCCACTCTGGTGAGTTGGAGGAGAATAGAGAAACCAGAGGCTGGGGGTCAGGAAGTAAGGGGAGACGGAAGGGTGGTGGGAAGCTGACATCAAAGTGGCACACAGACCACTTAGGGGCCTTCATAAACCATGCCCTGATGGAGGCCCCAGCTGCACCCCTAATGGCTCTGCTCCCACAGCTTTGCATCTGCTAGTCCTCCTCTTTGTTGTAGCCACACAAGTACCAGGGGGAGGCACATGCCATGGATTAAAGTGACCCTTAGGAATGCTGGGAGCAGGTTCACAAGGTAGATAGGTGCCTGGATGTCTTGGCCTCCTGTGAGGTTGGAGCAGGCTCTGTAGTGTGCGATGATGGAACCCAAGTGTTCCCACATGCTGGGTATAAATTTCGGGTTGAATGTAGCCCTCTGCTATTTGGTGCTTATCTTCACACCAGCACTCCTTTTTCCATACCAAGAGCTGCAAATAACACAATTCAGGCTTTGAGACCAGGAGCAGTGGCGAGAAACACTGTGCTCAGCAATATCTGCCTTGCCTCTCCGAGATCTGCTGAGAGGTACAGAAAACGTTAGGATTAGCTCAGCACATTCAGCCCCACAGCCACTGCACTGTGCTCTCGGTGTTATACCTTTAGGCTGTAAAACATGCCCAGATAGCCAAAGGGCCACATGGTATATTTCAATGAAGGAAAACCCTATCTTTAAAGAAGACGCTGCTAGCTACCAGCCTCAGGTGAAGACTGGAAAAATAAACCTTGACAAAAAGGGAATGTTTTTTACTCTATGTAAGGGCACCTTGTTTTAGTGAATGAGGGTCTTGTCTGCATGTCTGAAGATCTTTTGGATATATTTGGAAATTGAAATCTTTATTGTTGGAAATTGAATAGATGGAAGGAGAAATTGAGATTTGGGGAGACCATCACTTTGCTCTGAGGTGTCCTTTCCTCTGTGGTGACACCTCAGAGTGTCAAAAATCTTGACTGATCCAGTGAAGGGCTGTGAATTAACAGAAATGTTTTTGGGGAATAAAAAGGAAGCTTTTAACTCTATGTTTGCAAATTTACTTACCTCAGCCCAGGAAGGTTAAATGTAAGTTAATTTGCACTTATATTGGATACAAGGTGAGAGAACTGGAAATTCATGTCTTGAGTTTACTGTGAAATTTTGAACATTTGCATATTCATGCTATAAAGAAGTATTTCTCTAGTTAATTTCATGCAAAGTGACAGCTTTTACAACCTGTTTAGCATATCAACAAACCACTTTTATTAGTAATGACATGAGTATTAATAACAGGGACAAGATTTCCAGATTTCCTTTTCTTATAAAACCACAACCATTATTAAGAACCCCAAGAACAAAACCACAATGTCTAGGCATAATGTGACCACGGTTGCCGACAGGGTGACAGAGTTGACCGCACAATCTTGAGAAACACAGCCACACACATTTTATGAGCCTTTTATATGACAGTTGTTAAATTTGGATAACCATTTTTCAAATTGTACATATTTTTCTAAAGATACTTTACAGAAAATGCTTTCTACCCAGTTTGATAAAAGGGTTCCTTCCGTGAGCCCATTGAATTCATATTAATAAGAAAGTACATTTCAGCATCATATGCTGTCCTCTCATTGGTTCTTATCCCATTAACACTTATTCCTGGTTATAGATTCTGGAGCTTTCTAAAGAGATGGTAAAACCTCTTTCTAAAGAAATGGTAAATGTTTTAATAAAGTTCTCTTTGGGGGAAAAAGAAGCAAGACTTAGTCTCTTTCCTCAAGATGTTTACAAGCTATTAGAGATGACAGATACTTTTAAAAATACATGTTTTTGTTTCTTTTATGGAGTAAATGACAAAACACTGTGGAAACATTATTCTTTTTGGGGGTGTCAGGGAAAGCTTCACAGAAGAAATAAAATTCAAACTGGGTTTTAAAGGGTGATTGGGAGTTTGACAGGTGGAAGGAGGGGCAGGAGGGCATTCGAGTCAGAAGGAGCAGCATGTAGAGTGGTGCAGAGGCTTGAGAGACTGATGTATTTGGACACATATTTGTCTTGTGTGTCGGACATTTAAAAAATTTTATGTATGTATCTTTTATTTTTTATTGCATACATTTAAGGTATACAGTGTAATGTTTTGATACACATATGCATAGGGAAATGATTACTATAGTCAAGAAATTAACATATTCATCACTGCACAATTACCTTTTTAATTGAGGTAGAATACATAAAATCTAGTCTCTCAGCAAATTTTCCATATACAATATTAACTATAGTCCTCATGCTGTACATTAGCTCTCTAGATATTCATCCAATACAACTTCAAGTTTGTACCCTTTGACCTACATATCCCCGTTTTCTCTTCCTCCCAACCTGGATATCTACCATTCTACCCTGTTTCTGTGTGTAATTTTTAAGTTCCATATATAAGTAAGATCAAGCAATATTTTTCTTTCAGTATTATTTCTTTTCTTCAATGTTGTTATTTTACTTAGCGTAACGTCCTCCAGGTTCACCCATGTTGTTGCAAATATAGCAGCATCTCCTTTTGTAAGGCTGAATGATATTCCAATGTACATATATACTGCAATTTATTTATCTGTTCATCTATTGATGGGCATTTAGATTGTTTCTGTATCTTGGCTATTGTGAATACTGCTGCAATGAGCATGAGAATGCAGATATCTCTATGAAGGGCTGATTTCATTTCCTTTGGGATACTCAGCAGAGGAATTGCTGGGTCATATGGTAGTTCTGTTTTTAGAGGAACTGCCATACTGTTTTCCATAATGGCTGTACCAGCTTACATCCCACCAAGAGTGTACAAGAGCTCCCTTTGTGTGTGAGAAAATATTAACATCTCCTCATTTTTAGCAGCCACCTATATATACTGATGACTTCCAAATTGAGCATCTTTCTTATAGACCTCGCTCCTGAATTGAGACTCATATTCTATCTACAGGACATTGCATTTTGATATTTGTATGGAAACCTCCACCTCATTTAACTAAAACCTAAATTCATTTTACCCTTTTCCCCAATACCTTTCTTCCCCTTTATTTTCTTCAGTGAATGTTGGGATTCTCCTTCAAGTTATTTGTGTACAATTTGCGGGTATCATTGAAACTTCTAATTGAGCTGCCTCGAGGGAAAAATTATTGAATAATACCATGTGTTAGAACTAGGTAAACATTTTCCATATATCATCTAATTTAATTCTTTGAAGTTAACATTGAGGAAATTGAAGTTCAGAGATTAAATTCCTAAATTGGCTGAGTTGACAAATGAAGACACTGGAATTCAAAACCAGGTCTGACCTCAATCTCTATCTTATTTCCGTTATGCCACATTGGCCATAGTTCTAAATATCTTGCCTCATTTCTCTTTCTGAAAGGCAGATCTAATCATGTCCTGTCTGTATTATGGTTCTTTAACCACTCCCCACTACTTTTAAGATTAAAGCCCACATTTCTTAGCATGTCATATAAATCCTTCATCATTTGGGTGCTGCCTCCCCACTTTTTTCTCATTGTTTTGTGTCACTAAAGGTTCGTAATTCTTGCCTTTTCCTGAATGAGCCTTTTTTTCAACAAGTTTGTCCCACTTCTCTCTCTCCTTCCTTCCTTGTCAACTTGACTCTCTCATTCTTCATGAATGAGTCCAGGTAATACTTCCTCTATAAAACTTGATAGCATCTCTCTATCCCAGAGTTCAGGTTTTGTTTGTGGGTGTGTTTCTATAACTTCTTGACTCTTGTGATACTGCATTACTTTGAATCTACCTGCTTGGTCTTCTCCACAAGATTGAGGATGATAGTCATTTTGCCCTGTTCCTTTGTATCAAAATTGGTTAACATAGCATGTGGCACAGGATAGATGCCAATAATTGTTTACTTAAACAAAATATGATTTTCCAGCTTTGAAAACTAGGTGGATACTATTATCATTGATCAAGAAATGGAACACAGAAAGAGGTGAAAATTTGATAGAGAGGAGATATTTCTTTTGGCATTAACATGCTGTATTTGAGGTCTGTCAAGTGTAAGTGGAGATGTCTCATGTAAAGTTGGCATTAGACTAGAAAGCTGAAAATAAAAATTTTGGAGTCATTGGATGAGATGATCTAGAGTAAAAAGCATTGCAAGAATACTGCTTCATAGGTGGTGTTGTATACTTTACATTGCATCAAATCATGTAGGACATAATACAGGTTGTTCTGCTGTTAATAAAGCTAAGTTTGAGCAGCAGATTCAGAAGTGACAGCCTGCTATATCCATAGTAAAGTTCCAATCAAACTTTTAAAAAAGTTCATTCACTGATGATCTCTGCTTTACTTACTTATTTAAGTAGAAGTATTTAAATGGTGATTTCCTAATTCTGTCATTCTTTCTGTATTCATTAGCTGTAATTCTTCCAAAAAGAAGAAATTTCCCTTATCTATTAGGGTTATTGATTTTCTCTTTAAGAGGAAAGAGGATAAATGTTCACAAAAGGCCAAAAATGGCCTTTTGTTGCCAATTTTCAAAATAAGGGTTTACCCAACTGCACTTATGACACATGAGAGATTTTGCTTTTATTCTTGCATGTCTCTTTTTGTATTATTATGAGCTCATGGATTTTATATATTATGTATTTCAATTAACTGCAGTCATTAGTCTTTTTGATGCTAAATCTAGCTATGGCCAAGGAAGAGATTCCTTTGGGTTACCTCCTCTGTTCCATGATACGGTTCCATTTGTCTTTGATTATTTGCTTTCTGGCATAACAAGATGTCCAGGCTCATGGTATATATATTTTCTGTTCCAGTCCTGGAATCAGCCTTTCCTTCAAGGATGCCTGTTTTCTTTTGTTGAGGAAGGGTTCTCAGAGACCACAGTCAGGGTGCTCGGAGTGATTATTGCTAATGGGTTATCATTGCTTCTAGACCTTTTCAATAGACAGAGCTAGGAAATATCTATATTGGAAATAGAAAGCATCATGAATATGTACAGATATTTTCAAATCAGCTTAATAACATGACTTTTAAAAAACTTTTTTAATATTTTAAAGAAGCATCAGAACCAGGCATGGTATAGTCATTCTACATGTCTGATTCTCTTGGTTTTGCATCCCATATCAGTTGTCATTGTCCTTACATAGCCTTCCTCCCAAAAAAGATTCTTTTAAATTTATTTTCCTTAGTTCCTAAAATGAATAAAACTGACTTTACAATACATGTGGGATTACGTGCCGAGATTGATGCCTAGTGATTTTGTATAGTATGTATCCCTTAGCAAATGTAGTTTAAGAACATGTTAATCTGATTTCCAATCACATGATCAGGTGGGTGGATAGTATTAGTGTCATATGCAATGGTCATGTCCCAGGCATCAATGATGCCCACGTTGAGGTCTTTGAAAATATCCTTCATGATAAGATATTGAATATAACCATGGAAGTCTCCAAGCCTCTCTGTGTCTATGTGCATCTCCCTGATGTTTTCTGTCTTAATAATCACTTTAGTGGTTGGGCTTCTTAGGAACAGTCTTTCAATAGCCTTTCGGACACCAATGGCCCTGCGAATAAAAACGTCAATGGGAAACGGTCTGAAGTGCTGGCCAAAGGTGATGACGATGGCTGTGTTTTTGTCACCTGATAGCCGGTCAATTTCCCGAGGGATATAATCATGATCTATCAGAGAGTAGAGCTGGAAAGTGACGAAGGGATAGTTATGTTTTTTCCATTGAATCTGAGTGTGTCTTTCTGCATCCAGAAGCAAATGTTTCTTAAAAATTCCAGTTTCATGAAGATCAAAAAACTTTAGTGCTGATAAAAAAATAAATAGATGTTTTAATTAGAAGATAATGGTTAATATTCATGAAAAAGAATGTCCTATCATTTAAAATACCCACCCCACCTAGATAATTGCTCACTGGAGTCTTTCTACTCTCTAGGGTACGGTACCCGCAGTTCATACATGAAAAATGTCAATAAAAAATGTAAAGTTCTCATTGGAATTTTAAAAGAGGACCAACATTTCTTATGAAAGAGGAAATAAAATACATTTTAAATTTAAAGGCTCAAATCCAGAAAGCTAAATGAAGTAAAAAACAAAATAGCTCAAATCAGAGAATAGAGACCTCATTAAAAGTACTTTAAAACCAGCCTGAATTTCTGAGAGAATATACAGTAACTACCTACTTTTTACAACTTTGGGTAAGTAGTAGATCCACTGACGTAGCGTAGAATCTCCCAGGAGGTAAATGAGTTTGCCTTTCAAACAGCCGTTTATCTTAATTGTGTCTAACTGAACCTGGTTGCAAAATGTTGTTATCCATTTTCCTTGTAAAGTATAACCACCAGGGACAGGAGGCTTCATTCCAACTTGGCATTTCTCTTCTATTTTTTCACTCTCTGGTAACAAAGACACTTGTAAATGATTTTATTGGCATAAGTTAGACATCTAGCCTTCTTCCCTGGTCCTTTGTTTTCTTGCTCTCTTTTCCTCTTCCTGTAATGCCTGTTTCCTTTTTCTGTCCCTTTCTAGTCCTATTCTTTGATCATTAGCTTTGCTTCAGGCATTTCTACTTATTCTTTTGAGAGATTTTGAGTCATCTTGCCTCCTGTCTAATTCCTTTTCTCTTAAATTTGGTCATTAGCTAAATCTTGACGTTCTATCCTTTCTTTGACGTTCTGTCCTTTCTTCCTGATTCTGTGGTGACTTCTGACTTTGTCTCTTACCCGAATGATGTTAGTGGTCTGCCAGTTGGTGCCGTTGTATAAAATCCTTTACCTTTGTTTCATTAATGAAGGAATGAATAATCTTAATTTTTCCGTGTTCAAAAAATGGCTTAAAATAGGTACATTAAAAATAAAAATCTCAAATAGTATATTAGTCACCTAGCTTGACAATTTTTTTTTTAAAACTAGACTTTGCTAAAAGCAACATGCGACATCCATTACAAACCAATATTCTGAGATTTTCCAGGAAGTTTCACTAGAGTTTTAGGCTCTGTTTGCACATGGTCTGCCTTCCATTACAAGTAGGTAGCAGTGCAGCAAATGTCTTGTTATAGCATAACAAAGGTCATCCAATTTCTCCTGTCATGTTTCCTTGCCACTATCTATGCTGCCATCCCATCACTGAGCCAATGCCTTGTATTTTAGGACTTGTTACATCAGGACTTCTGTACTGATACTACATTCTGTATGAGATAGGAAACCAGTTTGAATGCTGTAAGAAAGACCAAGATAATAATGACTTAAAAATAAAAGTTTATTTCTGTCTCACATAACAGGCCTGGAGTGAGAAGGACAGGGCTAATATGGCATTGCATGGTGTTAGGGACTCTTGTTTCTTCTATGTTGTGGCTATACCATTCTTACCATGTGGCTTCAATCTCATGGTCTAACCTGGCTCTTGCCATTCTCACATTATATCTAAAGTTCAGCTAGTAGTTAGGGAAGAAATGGATAGAGAGGGCAAGATTTTTGCTTTTAAAGCATGACTTAGAAGTTTCCCACTCACACTCCTGGAAAAAACTTAGTCATGGCGACAACTAGATATAAGGAAGGATGGCCATGGGTCTAGCCACAAACTGGTTTCTATTACTAAAGAAGGAGGAGGCAGTGAATACTGGGGAACCATCGGCAGTCTCTGCTTTACCCTCCTTGCTTAGTTCCTCAGAGGCCTTGCAGTCTCTGGCTGCCTATGTCCACAGAATTGTGCATCATTACATGGTTGTGTTGTATTTGTAACCTATGGACAAAGTGGTAAAACGGTGCTGGTTGCAGAATTGGAAAGTGCACCTGGAATAGCTCTTAAGTCCTGGTGATTTGGCTTACTAAAGGGAGTTTGTATAATCCTATAATTATGTTGGAATTACAGTGTGATATTGATGGGTTTCTATGAGGCTTGGTAGCATTGCACCCTAGATGATTGAATACCATGACCCTGGAAACTTGAGATTCATAGTTAGTAAGTATTCTTTATCCTAATAATGTACTGACACACTTTGCTGAGAACATAGCCTTTAAGTGTATTGTTGTAAATCCTATGTTGTGTAATCTTAATGTCAGGTATTCATTTTGCCATGTCTCAAACTTGTAACAAATCCACTCATGATTACTGTTACATGTTTATTTTACTTAATAATTTTAGAATAGGCTTGAGCATTTTGAACAGTATGTGGGTAATAATATCAGGATTCTGTATATCAGCAAAAGCAACTCCATTTTAGATGCTAATCTGCTATGTTGGCTCCTGATTAACCCCAGTTTATCTATTGTTTCTTGTACAACAGCAGGTACTTATGGTAAATCTTGCCCTTAGGTCAAACAGCCTTGGTGGTATTGTACTTCAGTTGTCCTGTACATCCCATCTGAACCATCCTTCCCTTATGCTCTGTAAGCCCTGGGTCTGGGGGTAATGGTATGGAGATCCACCATCTTGTCTCACCAATGGAGACATAAACATGGCTTCTGCTTGTAAGTCCCTACTAAATGTTTCTTTCTGAGAAACTGGATGTGTCAGACTCTTCTTTGGCCTCTCAGCTTCCTCAAACTTTGGGAGTAGGTTTGCACAGACCTGCCCACTGAGAAATAGATTCCATTATATTTTTGATTAGATAGGGAAACTAATAGTCCCCCAAAGATATCCACATCCTAATTCTTAAAACCTGTGAATATGTTGAAGCAGAAGATATAAAAAGAAAACCAAGTTTTCCTGTACTAGGCTGACCCACTACAAGACCCAGGGAAGGGCAGGGCTCTATCAAGGCTTTGGCAGCATTATCTGCAGAGCCAGGTCCCAGAAGGGATGGGCTGCAGAGTCTCTCCCTCCCATCCCGAAGCAAGGTTGGGAAAAACAAGTTTTTCTCATTCAGCTTCCCCCTTCCCCCCTTACTATTCTCACAATTACCTTTGCGAGTTTTGTAAGTTCCTGTTTTTCCCTTCTGTGCAGCACAGTGAAGGTCACAACATATGGCTGAGTTGCAACACCTGGCTTGAGTTGTAAAACCTGTCACTGTTTGATAAACTGCCTTTATTGTGCTTCTGTAGACTTGCTGGCCACCTTGTAGGTTTTGCACCATTTAGTGAAGTGTATATTCAAGCTAGCCAATACCCTTTCAGGTGCATGTATAAGAGTCAAGCCCTGTCTTTGTTCAGGGCTCAGCCTTTGGATGTTAATCTGCTGGACAGGTAGCCACCTAAATAAAATCCTCCTGTTCCATCCATTGGTCTCTCCTGTCCCTTAATTCCTACAACAATGTTGCCTTTTCCAGATATGACTAGGGTATGGCCTTTCAGATGGAGAGACTATCCTGGATTACATGGGTAGGCCCAATCTAATGTCACTGGTCCTCAGAAGTGGAAGAGGGAGGCAGAAGAGTGGGTCAAAGGTGTGACAGGAAAACTTGACCCTCTGCTGTGGCTTTGAAGATAGAGGAAGAGGGGTACAAGGAATGTGGGCAGCCTTAAAAACCTGGAATAAGCAAAGGAACAGATTCTCCCCTAGAGCCTCCAGTAAGGAACATGCTCCTGCTCTACCTTGGGCTTAGCTCAATGAGCCCAACACTGGTCTTCTGGACTACAGACTATAAGATGATGTATGTTTGTTTTTAAAAGCCACTTTATTATAGCAGCAATAAGAAAATGATATATAGACAACTGACATTCTTTTAAATATAAAGTCATCCCATCCAGAGACAGTGTTTTTTGCTTCTATTTATATGAATTTTGTTTTATATTCCTTAGTGACATTTTAAATTGTCTTTCTACAGATCATGCATTTTATTAAATTGTGAATTTGCATTTTAAAGCACAAAGTGGATTATACCACTTTCTTCCTCAGTTGGTTTCTGTGGCTTTCAAGTTTACTGAATAGTCACTGAAATCCTCAGCATGGCACTTGAGAACCTTCATGATTAGGTCCTTCTTCTCTTTCTAGGCTTATCCTCTGCTACATTCCACAATATGCTCACCCCACTGGCCTATTGAACAAGTCCATGATGACTTAGTTCATGACTGGAATTATCAGATAAAAAGAGTTAGATAAAAAATACAGGACACTATATTAAATTTGTATGACTTCTAACAAGGAATAATTTTTTAGTGTAAGTATGGCCCATGCAATATTTTTCCCTTTTCTCAATGTATATACTGACAGCATTAGAAATTTACCATATTCATTTTGATTCCTGTATTATTATTTGCTTTAAATCCAGCAACACTACACCCATCGATCTTTATGAGGTTTCCTCTTCATTCTCTGCACTACACATATCCTTCAGGAACTCAGTCAAATACCAATTTTAACATACCTCTTTTTGCATCTTACTGTCTTACATCGCGTTCGTAGTTGACTGTACTTTCACATGCAATAGAACTGAGCATTCATTTTTCTCATTCTGTGCCACGACAGGATCGCCGCGAGTGTGCGATTCAGTGCTCAGTAAATGTTTCTGTATCCTTTACTGTTCAGAAGCAAGCATGATTTTCATGCCTCATGTGTGAGATGTCGCCTCCCTCACATCTTGTTCATCGACACTCAGCCATTGCCATGATGATGGGGTGGGACCGGCGAAAATAAACTACAACATTTCAGAATAAATGAAGTAAATGATCGCAATAATTTTATAATTGAAGTAAGTAATCACTCTGATGGATGTTTATCAGGTAAACTAAGATAGACTTTTATAAAAAGTATCTTAACAAGCTAAGGTATATAAATCATCTTTCATAAGTAACCATGGCTTGTGTTTGTCTTTAAAACATTTAAATAAGATGAAAAAATCCAGTATAAAATTGGCTATTGCATCAACTAAATGTTACGCGTGGTTATGCCACGCGAGCGTTAGCGCAACAGAACAACTGACATAGCGTTCTAACCTCTGAAGCTGTAGGTACCATTCTTCCACGACATTTGCCACAAGATGCCTACAGACTACCTACGGAGATGAACTCTCAGGTTAAATATCCATGAGGATACCCTAACTGCTTTCCCCTTTTGGAATATGTCCCAACCGATGTCATCCTCCTTATTATTTTGAATAATCATTTCCTTGAGTTCCTGCCCTTCAAACGTCCCGCCACAATAATTGAACAACTCGCTCACGACCTCTGCTAGGAATTGTGCTCCCGGCGCCGAACTACACATTACTGTCTTAGGTAATGCTGATAACAATTTCTCTGAGCACTCACCCAACTGAGCGACAGAGCAAATTACCGTTACATTAGCGACATCACATGTTTCTGATACCTTCATCATTTCAACTCCCCTTTGGACCCTTCCAAAACAAAAATACGAACACGTAATTAGCACTGCTCTAATGCCAACGTAACATCAAAGTGAATCCATCTCCTTGTGGCAGGACAGGAAAAACTTTTAATTTTCT